TTGTCTCAAGTTGATATGCATATCAATGCTTAATTAGTGTTATTACATCTTTTAATAATAATTATAGAAAATGCTGTCTTTATTTTCTTAAATCACTGTTGAAATGCAGAATTATGCTCTTGCTAGAGAAGTTTTTTCCCCTCCATTTTAATTATTATTTTTTAATGTAAGGGATTCTGTAAAATAATGGCTATTTCCTGATCTTTATGGTTGTACTTCATTCTGGAATGATATCATAGCTTCCCTCCGGGAAGCATAAGAATTAGAATTTTGGTTGCAGACAATAGAAACCAATTCTAATAATTTGAGCAAAAAAGTAATTTATTGGCAGGATCTTCCATGGTTAATACAACAGACAAAAATCTTGAACAGAGAAAATCAGGCTTAGAAGTTTATGGAAATGAGGGCTACTCTCTGGCTACACACAGACCAGGAATTACTGACAGTCAAATCCTGTGCTGCTGCTGCTAGAATAAATGAATTCTAACTACATCATTTTTCCATCCTTTATCACTCAGCTCAAGATTCAAAGTCCCTGAATGAGAGCCTTAGCCTGGTTTGGGAAGGTCAGGCTAGGAACGGTAATTTACAACCTTATTAATATTGGACACCACAGGGAAAACAAGGTTTCCTAAAAGGAAAACAGTGCAACTACCAGAATGAAAATGAGGGGAGGCAGAGTTGCAAAAACCAGCAAAAGACAAACGAAAGTTGTAACTGGGTATTTCAACTGTAATAGGAAGTAACCATCCTGTATTGCCTTGCTGAATAGCCAGGAGGTAAAAGCAGAGGGCTAACACTACCCTGGCATCTTTCTCTTCTGTCCAGTTATGCAGATAAATAACATTTTCCAACAACTTGGATTTCTTTATCTACAGTTAATGCTACCAGTTGACATATATCTTGTCCTCTATTTTATCTGAGTTCACTTTCTAGTGACCGTTCATACTTGTTTTGGAGTTGTTACATGTTCAAGATGGACTCTTTATTATACCCATGTTTGTAATGTATGACCCACCATCTGATATCAGTGATCAATGAGATCCTCAGATCATTGAATCAGATGTCCAGGAATGGACACAAATACTTGCAACACCCCTTCTCCTCCTTCAGGACAAATGTCACCTCTTCAGAAAGTCCTCCTCACACCATGGTAACTAAGTAGGTCACCATATCTATCCTCACTCTGTTTAATTTCTTATTAGCCTTTATAATGAGCTGAAATTATTTCATTTATATGTTTACTTGCTTATCTTTGGGATCCCTCCATGAAAGCAGATACCATGTCATTCTCATTCACATTGTATCCCTAACACTTAGCACAGGGCCCTGCATATGTGAGATGCTTATTTATATATTTATATAAATATATACATATTGATTATGTATATACATATAATATATATAATATATGTAATTACTCAGCAAGGCAAATACACACACACACACACACACACACACACACACACATACACACACACATATATAATTTCACCTTTTCTCCTAGTAAATGAACCTCAGTTTTTAGTTTATGGTCCAAAGCAAAGAATAACAATGCTCTTTACAATCTAATTTTGAAAGTCAGTTGTTAGTTTTTAGGCAAACCATTTTTTTTCAAAGAATTGATGCATAAAACTGTTGGCTGCACTTGAGTTCCTAGTGTGAAATGCAGTTTTTAAAATATTTAAATGTAGTAGACTCTCTCTGTTTTATAATCAAGTATCCAGCACTTTATAACCCTCATTTTTTCTCCTTCCAAATGCCTCGATAATTTGACTTCTCCAAAAAGTAATGAAATAATTTTGACAGATTTTCTAATTGCACTTTGCAGTTATCAAAGTAAAAGCAAAATTCTCTGACACCTTGGAAAGGTGATATGTATTATACACTATCCATTACTTAGAGAAAATAATGATTATGACTTTGGTCCCACCTAATTACTGTCTCAGGATACTCCTATAGATAAGGTAAAAATTGCACACTGGAATTTAAATGGCGTTGTCTGACATTTCAGGAAGCTGACAATATTTTAAAAAATTATAGTGGCAAGGTAATGCATGTAACTGCATTTCCAATTACTCATTTTACTAGAATATATTGCACTCAACATATAAATTAGAAGCCTGGTGGAATGATAAAGAAGCACCACTAAACTGTTTATATACAAGTGATTTCAGCTGTGGTAATATACTCTCATGTTAAGTAACCCAAAGAGGTGAAAATATAAAATTGTAGAGCAGATTATAAATTAATTTGCTTTACAAATGCTATCTTCTCTTGGGGCGCCTGGGTAGCTCAGTTGGTTGAGTGTCCAACTCTTGATTTCGTCCCAGGTCACGATCCTGGGGTCGTAGGATGGAGGCCCCAGGTCATGGTCTGCACTGAGTGTGGAGCCTGCTTGGGATTCTCATTCTCTCTCCCTCTGCCCCACCCCCACTCACGCTCATGCCCTTTCTCTCAATTGCTCTCTCTTTTAAAATAAGTAAATATTGGGGCGCCTGGGTGGCGCAGTCGGTTAAACGTCCGACTTCAGCCAGGTCACGATCTCGCGGTCCGTGAGTTCGAGCCCCGCATCAGGCTCTGGGCTGATGGCTCAGAGCCTGGAGCCTGTTTCCGATTCTGTGTCTCCCTCTCTCTCTGCCCCTCCCCCGTTCATGCTCTGTCTCTCTCTGTCCCAAAAATAAATAAACGTTGAAAAAAAAAATTTAAAAATAAATAAATATTTCTTGAAAAACAAATGGTACCTTCTATTAAAAACTGATCTGCCTCAAAACTTCCACCTTCTCAACAACTCATTAATATATATCTAGGTAATAAGTTACTAACTTGCTTGAGAGGAAACTTGTAAATCAGAGAGAAAAAACATATCAACTACATTCTTAAGCAAAAGCAATGAAGGGGGCACCTGGGTGGCTCAGTCGGTTAGGTGTCTGACTTCGGCTCAGGTCATGATCTCACGGCTTGTGAGTTCGAGCCCCGGGTCAGGCTCTGTGCTGACGGCTCAGAGCCTGGGGCCTGCTTCCAAGTCTGTGCCTCCCTCTCTCTCTGCCCTCCTCCGCTCACACCCTGTCTCTCTTTCTCTCTCAAAAATAAATAAACATAAAAAAAATTTTAAAAAAATAATGAAAGTCAGGAATTAAAGGTTATCGATTTCTCTAGTCAAGTAACATTATTGGAGATGAGGTGTTATTAGCATCAAAAATCAGATATGGGGATAAGTCATGGGCTGTATATGTCATAGGCACTCTGTGCTGGCATCATATCCAAAATTGTGTAGAAAGTCAACAGTAAGATTTTTGTTTTCTTTTGTTGAGGAAAGGGCAGGCACACCACATCATGTCCCTCTAAGACCCAATTCAGATTTGCTGGAGAAGATTAAAACGGGCAATTCTGACAGAATTGCTTGAACTCTGCCGAATTACACCTACCTTTTAGTGACAAAGAAATTTGGATTTATAGCTATTTCAAACCCATATGGCCTGCATTCTTCTTCTTCTCTCTCCCTTAGCATCTGTTGAAGTTAGAGATCCATCTGTTACTAAGCCTATTTATTTATTTGTTTGTTTGTGTGTGTGTTTGTTTGTTTAGTGATTCTGCAAGTGGATTCCCCTTAAGGGCAAGTATCAAACAAGGATAACACTATCATCCCAGTCATTTAATCCTATTTTATCAGCAATGCCCGATGAAAGAAATTAGACAAGAAAAAAGAAATAGAAAAAAAAAAATCTGAAAATAAAGCAAATTTAAGTTGTTAGGGTTTGGGGGCTTTTTTTGTTTTGTTTTGTTTTGATTTGAATTTTGCTGATGGTTTAATGGTTTACTAGGAGTACCTAAGGAAAAAACAAAACAAAAACATTAGTTGATAAGAAAATTTTATAATTTGACTGATTACAAAATCATGCAGAAGATATTGATACTTTTCTATACACCAGCAATAGTCATTATATCTTCCTTACTGCATTATATATATATATATATTCAGTGTAAGTTAGAGTTTGGGACTTTTGGTGAAATTAGGGCCAAGATTTCCATAAAGAGTTGAGGTGAAGACATACAGTCCTGGGGTGGGAAGAGGAGCTTAATTAACATTTAATTAACATTTCCCTCTCGAATTAATAAAATAGTATCTTTCTAAAATTTTTGATATATACACACATGCACATATACATACATGTGTATATATTTCCCTACTTACCATTACAGTGATATATAGAACTGTATGATGCTTAAATTGAATCCTCAAGGTAGTCCTAGGTCTTTCCATCTTTGCATGCTCAGCCCTTAGCCCAATGCACTGCACATAGTAGGCCATAAATGAATGTTTTGTACTTTAAAATAAATGGAAAATGTTATTGTGAAGATTTTTCTTCCTATGATGCCAAGAAGGAGCTGTAAGCAACCATTTTGCAGATAGTCCCCTAAGAGCATATAACTGTATCTAATTTTGCATGGTTTGGAAAGAGGCAGACTCCAGAGTAATGGGATAAGCAGCTTTGGACTTCAAACTTTCCTCATACACATGTAGGATCCCACAGGGCTTTTTTTTTGCTGTGTCTTGTATTGAAGTATACCCTTAATAACTATTCAGGTGCCCTATATTCATCATGAGAAAGTTGTATAACTTTCCAAAAACTTTTCATCTGCAGTCTTTCCCATTTCTTCCAGGATTTTCACAGCAGTGTGGCTTGAAGAGGGCACACATCTTGCATAATTGTTGTCTTTGGGTCCTTTTATTCCCAACTAATTAAGTTAGAATGTCTGTTATATCCTTTAGGATTGTATTTGGTTAGAAGCAGCATGAAATGTGAATAATGGCTTTATTTGTCTGATTTAAGAGCAGAAGTCCAAGGGTAAGGCATTCAGGGCTGATACTGTAGCTGAACAATGACATCAATTCAATTTTTTTTTTTTCTATCTTCTTGCTCTGCTGTCCTCAGCGCATGGTTTTATGCCGATATCACAAGACGATGGATTCACTTCTAGAAATCATTTCATTTCAGGAAAAAATAAAGGGAAGAGGGTAAGTTCCTCAGACATCTAATCCACAGGCTTCATCTTAGATCTCATTGGCCAGACATGGAGCATTCATCACCATAAGCCCCTGGCAGGTTGGGGATGTGAGTATTTTCATTTTCACTTTGATTGTAGAGGGAAAGCAAGGGATACTGGAATGGCTTTGGATGGTCAATCTACAGTAACTGTCCTTCCTTTGTTTGGGTCTGATGACATATTTTTCTAAGATTAAAAAAAAAAGGATAAAGCTAGAAAAGTAAAGAGTATATGTTTCTTCCCATCTAGTATATAAAAACTAAGAAGTTTAGAATAACTAATATGTATGAAGACACCAGACAGACTTATCATGGGCCATATGATATGTCAAATTGTAAGGCTGCTAAGAGAGATAAGCTCAGAAAACTCACAGGACAAACAGCAAACCAGTAAAAGTCCTTCCGTTGAACCCCTTGATCATGTGGTAGTTGTGGAACAGTGTTGGGCAGGAGGCAGAACTAATGGAAGGGGACAAATGAAATTCAGCTTGTAAAGTCATTGTAAAAGTCTCTTTCTCTCTTCAAAATCGGCTTCATTGAAGACCTCACCCAAGAAGAAGGGAGGGGAAGAGAATGAGCTCCGCCTGGCGTAAGCCATTCGTCATATGAGCCGAGTGCTCTTGTAAAGGCCTCGTGTTTATGAACTCACATAATTCTCAGAACAACTCTTAGGAGACAGACACTATTTTTATTCTCATTTTGCAGACAAGGGACAGGTTTCCACAAGGAAATTAAGAAGCTTGCTTGTGACCTCACAAATGGCAAGAGCTGGGCCTTGCCGGCAGGTGTCCTGGCTCCAGAACCTGTGCTGACAACCACTTACCCTCTACTCCACTGAATCTCCCACTATTCTGTTCGGCAAACAAGAAAGTCCTACTTCACTTTACTCCTTGTCAAGAGGACCCTTCACGACTACAGAATAAAACCTGGTACCTAGGACACCTTGAAGGCTAGTAAGATAGCAAAAACACACTTCTTTCTGTGGTGGCAGGAAGAGGATGCCCAGCCCTTTATAATGACATGAGCTGGCGGGCTCTTGGCTGGACATCAAGGAAGTAGACGTCCGTTCACTCCAGCAATCACCGTGAACATTTCCATTTTTGGAGCCCCCTTTTCTCCTTTATAGAACACAATGATAGGATGCGAGGATATCTCAGGGTTTGTGGTTTTAAAAGTTGTGGGATTTTGGGGCGCCTGGGTGGCGCAGTCGGTTAGGCATCTGACTTCAGCCAGGTCACGATCTCGCGGTCCGTGGGTTCGAGCCCCGCGTCGGGCTTTGGGCTGATGGCTCAGAGCCTGGAGCCTGTTTCCAATTCTGTGTCTCCCTCTCTCTCTGCCCCTCCCCTGTTCATGCTCTGTCTCTCTCTGTCCCAAAAATAAATAGACGTTGAAAAAAAAAATATTTAAAAGTTGTGGGATTTTGTTATTTGATACCTTCCTGGAGACACGGGGTGGGGCCACACTTCAGTTATTGCAGACAGATACGGAATTTATCCTGTAAACACACGGACACAACACGTACTCCACATCTCTGACACCACAGCGCATCTCTATCCAAATCCATAGACGGGATATTTAACAAATGCTCGTGCACCATGGAATTTGGTGAGTCCCAGATTTTCCAATTCTAAGGTGTCACTGAACTTTGATTAATATTTGGGGGCCTTTTTTTTTTTTTAACAAACATAATTATGCTTTAGGTATACAGTTCTTCGTCTTCTTGAGAAGTGGCTATTATTTGAGAGACTGAGAAAAGATTAGACCCCTTCCTTAGAAACATATACACATACATACATACATTTTTCATAAAATCACCAAATCTCATTCAAGATTTCCAGGTTAGAGACTTCTACTTTGTGTGTTTTTATGATGTTACATATTTTGTTTCTGAGAAGGTATAATTATTTCAGTTTTTTCTCTCCTCTCGAGCAAATTTTCACATTCACCCTATACCCACATGGTTGTAAGTGTGATCAGCACAGCACAATACATATGTTGAAAAATATTGTTTTGGGGGCGCCTGGGTGGTTCAGTAGGTTAAGTGCCCGACTTCGGCTCAGGTCATGATCTCACTGTCTGTGAGTTCGAGCCCCGCGTCAGGCTCTGTGCTGACAGCTCAGAGCCTGGAGCCTGTTTCAGATTCTTTGTCTCCCTCTCTCTCTGACCCTCCCCTGTTCATGCTCTGTCTCTCTCTGTCTCAGAAATAAATAAACGTTAAAAAAAATTAAAAAAAAATAAAAATATTGTTTTGTTAGGCTATAATCCAAAAAAAAAAGAATAATTTAAAAAGGAAACTTTATTGCAATGTTTATTATTCTCAACCCTATTAAAAGAGTTACTTGCCTTACTTGTAGAATTATGGTTTTTACTATTACTTTACTCAGTCTTCTCCCTTCACGTAGCATGCTAGTCTGTCAGTTTCTAATTAATAATTACTTTTGGTTTATTATTTTTCACTATAAAATTAATACTTTTCCACAAATCAAGCTTTAGTACATGTATTTTGTCCCATGTTTTTAATTTATTCAAAATTCTACTAAATGTTTCCTAAGTGCCTGTCTTATATTCTTATAATATCTGTAGTGTAGTATATAACAGCATTTGTTAATCACAATATGAAGAACCACAGAGCTGAAAAATATAAAACAACAATAAAAAATTGAGTTTATTGTTTGCCCGGTATATTAGTTTGCTGGAGTTATCATTACAAAGCACCACAGACTCAGTGGCGTAAACAACTCTTCTGGAGGGTAGAAGTTTGAGAACAAAGTGTCAGCAGGGTTGGTTTCTTCTGAGACCTCACTCCTTGACTTATAAATGGCCTTCTCTCTGAATCTTTACATGGTTTTCCCTTCTATGCCTTATTTTTTTTTTAAATTTTTTATTTTACTTTTGAGAGAGAGAGAGAGACAGAGCATGAGCAGGGGAGGAGCAGAGAGACTGGGAGACACAGACTCTAAAGCAGGTTCCAGGCTCTGAGCTGTCAGCCCAGAGCCCGATGCGGGGCTCAAACTCACAAACCGTGAGATCATGACCTGAGCCGAAGTCGGATGCTTAACTGACTGAGCCACCCAGGCGCCCCCCCCCCACCCCCCGTGCCTTATTTTAATATAACTCTCTCTTTAAAGAGCCTATATCCAAAGATGGTCATATCCTGAGGTATTGGGTATGGGTTTTTTTGAGGTAAGAGGGGCACATTTAGCCTGTACCTGCAGGTAGAGAGACTGTGCCACTCACTAGAAAATGTGGTAAGTCTCTGTGACTGAAGTGGAAAGGCAGGATTGTAAAGAGCATCATCCAAGTTGTCAAGGAAAGGATTCTGAGTCTCCTTCAGGAGGCGTTTGCACCGCTCTGCTTCATATAAAATACAGGCACAGCTCCCAAAGGTGAGCTGCGTAGCCCATAGGCTCTCAGGGTCACGTCTCAGACACTTGCACATACATATATATGAGATGTGGCAGATTTTGCTTTTCAACACATTAATATAAGTTTTGCAATTTCCCAATGCTTGACAATCTCTTGCCAAAACAAGCTATCAAGATAACTTGAGCAAAAAAGGAAACAATCTCATTGTTTCTCTCTACAGTTAAATCATATACAAGACAGGAGAACCACATTAAAGACCAGCTCAGTTTCCCATAGCAACTTCTCTGGGCCCTGATGAATTTTCTTGCTTTTATCCGGATTGCGTAGTTTCAGAACGAAAGCTTATTGTACGTAGCTGTCTTTCCACTTTCCACTCACCAGAACTTTGGGGTGAAGGCACTGATAGCCAATTTGAAAGGAAAAAAAATGTTTTGTTCTTATAGGATTTGTCAGTTTTCTTTTGTTTGCTCTAAAGAACTTTAATCCTAATTGAAGACTTCAGATGTCACAGGACATTCATTTTGCAAGATAGAAAACAAGGGAGTAAAGTAAGGAGCAGATCCTTTCAGGATATCAATTAAGCGTAAGGAATATGGTCTTCAACCTTGAGTCCCACCTGGTCTTTTCTCATTCCCGAAACTCTGGGGTGAATGTTGTGATGGTGGACGAGAGCGTTGCTGTTACACTTACTTGCAGAATCTTTGAGTCAAAAGTATGACAAATCTTTTAGGAAAATCTAGGTGGTGAGAGATACCATCTATAGGATAGCAAAGATTGATTTTACTCATTTCCCTATCCCCTGCTGCCTACATAAGGTCAGTCTTATGGACAGTAAGTTATCAACAAATATTTATTTAGTGATTAGATTCCAGACTTATTGAACACACGTGGCCCATAGCAGTAGGTATCAATGATGTTTCCATCTTAAAGGAAAGGAGACGGAGATGCAGAAATATAAGTGCATGGCAGTAGAGGAAAAAGAGTTTTACCCTGCAGTGGATGGCCGTATCTGCTAATTAACCAGTTAGCAAGCAGAGCTGGTGAAAGTTTGACATTATTGGTGTCTTAAATGAGTAAGTTCTTTATTTTTCATAGAACATTTTTTAATCAGATAAATTTGCATAGTCACCACCTACGCTTTCCTAATCTGAAATGCAGCTTAAAAGCTCATACTTCTGAATCAAATCCTCTGGCCTTTTATTTCTGCACAAGTACTTGAAACACCCTGAGCAGAGATGCTTGAAAGGTCTTAAAGAGGCTGGCCAGGGTCAACCTGGCTCTGAATTTCAATGTGGGTAACTTGCTTTGCCAAGGGAGTCAGGTGCTTTACAAGTGGGCAACCAAGAAAAGTCTGAGCCCCAGCTCAAAGGTTCACAAGCAAGAATCAAGACCAATTTTCTTAGCTTATCAGGGTCTTGGTGCTATTAGAGGAAATCCAGGAACAGAGTAAAATAGTAAAGATAAAATCAAGATGGAAATTCACTAAAGATGGGAATCAGATTTCATTTGAGCCCCCAGGCAACTGTTTCTGGAATTACCCTGTTATGTGGACAGATTTTATTTCTTTGTTTTGGCATGTTTTAGCCCTCCACTTCAGATTCTTCCAAATCTGGTTGCCATGAGAACTCATTGACATTTTTTTTTTTTTTTTTTGGGCCGGGCTCGCGGGGGGGGGGGGGCAGAGAAAAAGAATCCAGCCACAGCCCACCGCAATCCACTCCATCTCATATCCTGAGGGCCCTTGCTCCATTTCTCCAGTCAATTCTGGCACATGAGAAAGGCAACAAATGAGCAAACACTAACCAGAACAACTGCCCCCCAGCGTTCTGCCAGAGCCCTTGAAACTCTTCACTGGAAAGGGAGCTTCAACAGAATTGGAAATCAGTATGTCAGTAACATACCCAGGGCTCCCAGTGTGGGGCAAGGCAGTCTTTAAATATTCAAATGTTTAAATGTTCAATTCTTATCTGTTTAAGATGGATCTTGGCCTGGCTGCATTTCAAGTCAGGCTATGAGTAGTGGGAAGCTACCTACTTTTAACCTCTCTAGAGTCACTATTTAGAAAAAGAAATAAGCAGTTTGGGATCATCTGAAAAAAATAAAAATAAAGTTATCTTCCGTCTCTCAAGCAGCCCATGAATTCTCAATGGCAGAGCTGAATATTTCGCTTTTTTTGTTTTTTTTTTTTCTTTCCTGGTGGCCTAGAGTTTGCTGTGATGCCACTCAGCAATTGATTTATTTCAGGAAGGCCCAATTTGCAAGTGTGATTCTGAACACTCAGTGTTCGTGTTTGTACGCATCAGAGCAACCAATAGGAATGAATTAGTGGGAAATACTTGTCCCTTCTTTTTCATGTTGTTCTATAGCAGAGATTTTTCTCAGTCTTCTCATGGAGAACGTTAAAGGTGATGTTTCTAAACCCCCGAGATACCCCGTACTCACTTTTTGCCAGTGTAGGAATGACTTTCCTGATGGGCGAAATTAATGAGACCCTAACATCCATTTGACCACGCTTGCATGAGGTCTGGTTCTTGACATTGAAAAGACGACAGACAGCCATCTTTTTCTGGTCCTCTCCATTCTGCTGGGGCCTGAGATTTGAGGACAGACTGTGCTCCTCAGCATAACTAACTAGGTATGTGAACTCTGAGTCTGTGCAGATCTAAGTCTCCCTGCAAGTTTGTGCCAAGTTCTGTATTTGGCATGAATTTAGGAGAACGTAGGAACTATCCTTTATGTTCCTGGATGTTACCATTTGAACGTTTCCCAAAGAACTCTAGACTTTAGGAGTTATTGGGTCTTCATGGATGATGGTGTTTGTTCCACACTGACTGGGCCGCCCTACTTTGTTGGTTCTCTAGTGGGTAGG